AATCGGCTTTACTTGAATGTCAGTGATGGCAATGCCTTCGGGCTCCCCTCCCTGCCCCTGGCCTTTGTTGCTATCCCACCCGCTATCTAGGGTTATAGAAGGAAATCGCACTCAACACACTTGTGTGTTGGTGCCTTTCCTTCTATTTCTCTTGTCCTACTTCTAGCTACCCGGGCGGTATAAGACAAAAGTCCCGCTCGCTAGCTTCTGCATGTATTGTAACTAACAGGCTTGGTAACTAGCCGGCCTCGTACCTGCTCCTATCTTTCTCTCTTGCCCTCTTCGTTTTCTCTTCCTGTTCTTCTTTGTCTGTCTTTCTAAGGCTTTTTAGGTGATTAGTAATCTCCCGGCACGCCGCTATCGGCGTTGTGTGTACAAAGCTGCTGAACAAAATTGTTTAACGCAGGGGGTGCAGAGCGCCGATTGCGGCATACTGTGTGTGTGTGTGTCAACACCTGTTTCCAAGGTTCGTGCCCGGTAAGTATGCATGCAGCAGGTTTTACTTGAAGAAAGGATGCTACTATATAATGGTTTCTGGCCTCGCTACTAGGAACCAGAGGCCGCTAGAACCAAGGGCATCGCTACGAATTAAGAACAAACAGGCAGGGACAGGGATGCAGAAAAAGAAAAAGACAAAGAAGCAGGGGGCCACCAGGGTCCCAGAGGAGCGGTGGCCAACGAAGACCTCCTCTGGGACCCGTGTAAACATACCTGCATTTTTAATAACTGTCTAAACCGCCGTTCCGTGCCTGCTAGGTATTCAGTAAAGCGGCTAATGCATAGGCGGTCTGCTAGGTATTCAGTAAAGCGGCTAATGCATAGGCGGTCTGTTAGGTATTCAGTAAAGCGGCGAATGCATCTTCCGCAGTCAAGTGAGAAACTCTTTTGTTAAAACACCTACAAGTGCTTGGACCTTTCGCCTTGCCGTTCCCTCGCCTTTTTCCACTTGGGAATAGATTAACTGCAAACCAATGTCAGAGTGTGGACGGGGCACATCTGTACCACGTGTTCAGTGAGTCTCAGGACAAAGACAGTTCCAGCAATCTACAGTATATACCTTTGCGTGTCCCCTTAAATTAAAAACTAAGAGACAATAAGAGTCTACCCAAGGAAGCTACTGGGGGCTCCTGGCATCGCTACTAGGAGCAAGGACGCTACTAGGGGCTCCTGGCCTTACTACTAGGAACAAGAAGCTACTAGGAACAATAAGAGTCTACCCAAGCACTCCACTTTGATATTCCAGGCCCCCATCCACCCGACCCCTCTGCCGCTGGGGCGGGCACTCCCGTGTTGCTCGCTCAGCAGCTGCGCCGTGGTAAGCCGCTCAGACAGCTCGCGCCTGCGAACGCGGAAGAGGCACAGGTCACCCCAAGGGACGGGCTTTGTAGTCAACCATCATCCTGGATGAATTACATCGCATATGATCGAATATAAACCGAAACCAGGTTTTCCTGTTGGTTTTGGGGGTTCCCCCATATCTACTCCAGGGTGACGATCAAAAGAAGGCCATCTAGAGTGGTCCACATGAGGTTGTGCCGTCAAAAAAGTCACACTAACTTAAGGTGTACGTAAAGAAAACTATATAATCATGTTTGATCCGTGGATGGAACTGATCACTAGAGTGACTACTAGAGAAAGTTGAATCGTTTTCATCTGGTGCCAACAGATTGTTTTCTCTATCTCATTCAAGTTTTTACCGGTTCGGTTCCTTTGGGAATAGTTTCCTGAGACACTCGCCGCATACCTCTTCTTGGCATGAGGTCACAGGATGACTAAGAATCTGACTTAACTTGGATTGGACTGGTCCACTCGTCAAACCCAACTGTGCATCAAGACTTTCACTGTACATTCGTGTACATGACATGGCCTGATTGAGAATAATATACCACTTAATCAAGTGGGTAGGTATATCAGAATGGCTCAAGTGTTCAAGTTTCTGTTTCTAATTGCTTCTGCCAGCTCTCCAGGTTATTCGTCCGCCTCACTTCCTTGTTTTGCACATTCGCCAGCTCTCTGGCCAGCCTCAGGGTTCGAGCGCTGGCAGTGAACGTCAGATCAATGAGGTCACAAAACCCGGGGTTCCGGTTCAACCTGCACATTCAAACTGAAGCCCATATAGTTATATTTGATTCACCCGCAGCTGAACGAGAGCTCAATCGCTCAGTGGTTGAAGAGAGGCTGAACTGCAGCAAAATGGCGCCCATATAATAACAAATTATATACAGTAAATAATTTGCGTGTTTGGGAGGGGATTGAAAGAGCATGGTCCTCTACTCAGCTATGTCACCTCCTCCGATTGCCCCTCAACTACAACAAGCCGAGTGGCTGTTCCAATTCACGCTGCAATGCAAATGCTGTTTCATTCTTTGGTTCCTGCGGCGTTTCCCACATGCACGCAAGCATCCATTCGCAAACAAAAGTGGAAGACGTGGAAGAACGCACATGATTGAATTACCGAAGGCTGGCTGATCTTAGTTGGGAGGTGCAAACTGCAAACCAAACATGCGTAGTTCCTCCGCTGCCCCGTCCTCATTTCTCATCGGATGCGTAAAAACCTGATAGCGGACATGTGGCCGTGTCTCGGAAGACGCACGCGGTGGCCCGAAGGAAATAGCTTGGAGATGTGGGGAGTTTCGACCCAAACCGGATCCACAGCCACCGTACCTCAGGCTCGGTACGACTGGACCCGACGTTTTGGTAACCGACATCAAAGAGTCTCCAATCACCTTCTCAGAGGGTATGTAGATCCAAAGGGAAAGTTTTTGGATTAAATGCGTCTGCTTCAAAACCGCATGCGAAGCTGTACCCCAAAAAGGCACCATCAACCTGTTCATAGAACGGCATGGACTGAAACGGATCATGAGTTCTTCCTGACCATAACCTCGAGCGTCTGCACATTTCAGAACATTATCCATCAATGGAATTTGGCCTGACAAGAGGGGTTCTGATCAGTTCAATAGTCCACCGATCGCAATGCCTTGGGAATCCTTGGGAGCTTGGACTTGCCAACTTGCCACCCTGCAACCTGAAGATATAAACTCTGATCAAAGGCATAGGTGACATAGGTGACAGTTATATCTGAGAGATCATCCACAACCACCTTCAACTACCGGGAATATGGGAAGATCCCATTTTACACCCGCCCCAGGGTGGGCGTCCCAGGGTGGCAGCTCGCAGCTCGCATGTTCTGTCCAGAACACTGGGTCCATCTGCTTAGAATGTGTCAGACGAGTTCGCCTCATGATGCCAAGCAAATATCACAATGCGAATTAGCTTTGGATGCGGTGTTGCCGCGAAAGCAAACCAAAAGGGGGCGGTTTCTCCTTGTGGAATCGCGCGAAAAGACCCCTGAGTGCCTGCCAAAGGGTTCATGTGTCAGACGAAGTAAAATCTGATGTAGCGTTCTTGTTAAGGATACAGTAGCAAACTGAATGGGATAAACCGATAAACCCTTCAGAAGCGAAGTTGCTGTACTGAGCAAAGCTCTTGGAATCTCCAAAACCTGTGTTCGTCTCATCCGATGTGCGTCTGAGCCAACTTGTCGAAGGCCCCACCCAGGATGGACTCTGACATGCAATAGGCCCCGCCTCCGTTCAGGTATGAGCTGGCTTGCCCACACCTCTCGCCAAAGACCAAATCAAGGTACACATAGAAGAGCACGAAAGATGGAACGATCAGCCAAAGCCAAAAGGCCCCGCCGCTCGTGAGGTCGGTCGAGAAGAATTCTCCCAGTCCGAAGAGCTCATCATGTTTTGGGGTTTCTTCCTTCGACTCGATGGTCACCTCCTTGACCTTCTCCATCACCTTCACCTCCTCTTTCACGAGCTCATCAACTGCTCTCAAACGAGCCAGGTTCTGACGTCCGGAGAGAGACGGTGGTCCCACGAAGGCAAGTTCATTGATGACAAGGCCCAGGAGGGCAACGAGGATCAATCCAGCCAAGCGTGAGCGGACCGCCATCGCGCTCACCAGAGCAGGTGTCAACACACGAAGTAGCGCGCGAAACACCCGGGCGACTTTGGCAAAATCCTTGAGGTCAAATGGCCACGAAATGCTTTCGATGCCAAGAAATAGGGATTCTTTGGCAGCCCCTTTTCGCGGGGATTGAATTCATCAGGTCATTTGGGACAGTATATGAAACCATTGCAGCAGCATATCACCATCCACAACTGCTTCAAAACAAGATAATTCCAGATCCCTTGTTTGTTTACGCTGTGCCAACAAAAGAATGCCCGTCCTCCGCAATCCTCCTATTTCGCTCTGCGCGCCTTGCGGCAGTTGGCGGCAAAGCGCAGCGCTGACTCGGTGTCGGCCTCGGTCGACGAGCTGGGTCGCTCGGCCAAGGCGGGACCTCGGCGTGTGCCTCGTCCACTGGCGGGGTATGGCCTGACTGGGGAGACGCCTCATGCACTTACATTCGTATCTTAATAGCGATGGCTACGTTCGCTTCTTGTTACTAGACGCTCATGTATGAGAACTTCACCAAAGATGTTGTAAAATAAGAGGTTCATTGTGGTTCATTGCTTTAGGGACGAAACATTCATTCTCTATGGAGTAGACAGAGTAGGACGGTTTCAAAAAGAAACAGGAAACTGATCAACATTGTGGAATAACTTATATGCATTCATATATGCCTTCTGCTGTACTTCGGGATGGTTGAATTCCGTTCAACACTGAACCGCCGAAGTGATGGACCTTTCAACTGGTTCCTTGCGGTTGAATTATACTGGACGTAAGACACACACGATGAAAGGATGAAACCATATCTATTTGAAGCAACCCCTCTTGAAGAGCTGCGATCTAAATACGTAGTCGGTGCGGTTCATGTCAACATGGCATGGTTCCTTACGGAAAGGCCCCAAAATGCGTCCACAACCTGGACAATGTTGGTTCATAAGACCAATCCCTTGCACCAACTGATTCTGTGTTTTACTTCCATTCGTACGTTCAGCTGCTCCCGGTTCCGGTGCAGTTCAGCTGCTCCAACGGGCGCCCTTTTTTCCTTCAACGGCACAGCAGTTCCGTGGAGCTTCGGAACTGTGGACCCAGTTGGGCGACACGGCGTCAGACACGGGTTCAAGTCTGGCTTCGTCTCCAGGGACGATGGTAGAAGTGCCCTTGTTATCCTTTTTTGTTGTTTTTGTTGGTCCAAAACTTCTTCAGATCATAGATCTTCCAATGTCTAATTGTACAGGTGGCCCTCATCGGTGCTGTGGTTCAAGTTCCCCTCAGCGGACCAGCAACGGAGCCTGGCACGGTCGCGGCGTCCGTGCTTCGCGGCGTCCGCGTAGAGAAACGCGGTTGCCCGAGTCGGCATCGACGGTGGGTCTTAAGACTGATGGCGTTCTTTCACGACCGGTGTTCTTTTGGTATTCTTGGGACAATTTTTCATATTCCAAAGAAAGTAGATATTTGGTGTTGTTTTGGCAGTTGAAAATCCCAGCCTGTTTCGTATCTCTGCAGCCAACTACAGGCATGGCGTCTATGGGCACGATGGAGCTCAGGATTGCTTCTCCAATATAAACTTTATCAATATGAAACTCGTAGATCAAACTCGCTGTTTGATCCGAACTACTTGCTTGCTGCTTTCCCGATCGACCCGGATGGGTTTCACTCCGCGCACCTTGCAGTATTCACTCGGATGGGTAATGCGGAAGACCACCGCTGCCAACAAGCCTCCCAAAAGCGGACCAGGAGGTTGACATGGTCTGGAGAGACAGAGAGAGAGAGAGAGCTCGTTACTACATGATAGTAGTAGTAGTAGTAGTAGTAGTAGGAGGAGTAGTAGTAGTAGTAGTAGTGACCTCCAACCTAATAGCGATGGCCTCCACCTACTAGCGTCCTTGCTCTTAGTTGAATGGATATGTATTTTCTTGCATTTTCGTGTATTTTCCTGTTCTAGCCCGTATGAAGAGGAAAAATGTTGTGCGCCATTTGTTGCACTCGTCAGGTATCGTTCGATTGGTATGAATTGACTGTCCATCCTGTGCTGCAGAAATACGGCCGAGCTGCTTGTGAGTTTGTTTGGTTGCTCGCAAAAGCTTGGGTTCTTTGTTTGGTCTGTCCGTCCCAACGAGAACTCGCTCCATCATCTGCCCTCCTCAATGAGGCCTCCAGTGCACTGGAGCGTACTGAACTTCAAGAGCGTACACAAGCCATTGCCAGCTTCCTTGCATCTCCCGCTGCGGGCGAAACGTATGATAGGGTCAAAGGATTCCCAAAACATACACACCGGTTTGCTAAGCAGAGGAATTGATACTATATAGTGACTAGTGTGCTCAGTACTAATGGGCCTGGAAGATGATATGCCTCCAAAAAGACCACTGATGGAGTAGGTCCCATGAGGATGCAAGGTACTAGGGGGGTTGCACCTTTTTGGCCACTGACCAGGCAACATATATAAGATGGAATTGTGAGACCAATCCCCGACGTTTGATGCGTAGCGTAGATTGCGCGGCATAGCACAGAAGAACTACGGCTGGGCCACAGCGATGAGTCCATAGCTGATAGTCTTCATCTGAGGTCTCATCCTGATTGCATAAGCGATAGTGGGTCATGGCACCCTTATACCGAAACCCCCGTAATGGACACCAAAGGTAGCGTAGGGTGCCATGGATTGTCCACGCCTCCCATTCAGGACATGTCAGGACGAGGTCCATCCCAATGGCCGGTTGAAGGCCATCAAGCCCACCCCACTTAGGGATTCAGGCGCTTCGGGAAACCTTCCCATCCCAATTCTTGAGGCTGTAATCAGCTTGTGACATGTGGAAGACGTGGCATATGCTTAGGCCAAAAGGTTTGTCGATGGCTCCAGCCACCAGCCTTGTCTCAGGCGCCTCCACGAACCTCCTACTCCATCTCAAAAAAAACGTCCCAACCTGGACATCCAAACAAGCAGAAAAATACGTGTATGTTCCTTCTCCACATCCTACTCCACGTCCTACTCCAGCCGCTTCCAAATATTCCTCGTTGTTCCAGTATGTCAACTGAGATCCTTTACATCGGGTCCCGCAGCGGTCGGACTGGGGATACATCCATTTTGAGTCGGTTTCGGGTCCTTTGGGATTTCGACATCCATCGCCTCGGCAGGGCCACCCGGAAAAAAGAAGAAAAGCCCGTCCTGAATGGAATGAATCTCCGCCACGTTCAGCATCCAAACGCCCACCTCACAAGGAGGCCAGAGCGAACTCATCTTTGCCGTTTCGGAGGTTCTTGACCAGAAAAGGGGTGGAAACACTCTGCTTCACAGGGTTTGTGGTGTAAAAGCCCAGTAAGTCAATGTCAAAATGGTGAAGCGAAAGGCGAAAGGCAAATGTTGCTCAACACGCAGCAGCTTGCCCGGCCAGCCCAACCCCAACTATTCTCCACCTTTTCCTCACTTGGCCTTCCACCAGCCCATCCGATCCGAGGAACGCAGCGGAAGCCGAGCGAACGGCCACGGCCCGGTCTGCCGGTCACCGAGGAACGGCCACGGCCGGGTTCAACATGCCCCCGCTGAAGGTGCCCACCGCGCAGCCGCCCGTCATCACACAGAAGCCCTCCGCGAGGCCGAAGAAGAGGTTCTGCAAGATGGCCGCGCGCTTGGCGCCGCTCTTCGTGTGGATTTTCGGGGTTGCGGAAGATGAAGAAAAGCGTGGCGGGCCATCTGGGTCATGTGAGTGGGTCTGGGCCATCTGGGTGGCTGAATTGGACGATGTGGGTGAGTTTCTTGGTGAGTCTGGTCTCTCACATAGTCTCTCGGTGAGATGTGGTTGACTCGGCCCGCCTGTCGCTTGTGAGCCTTCGGCATCGCGACCGTGGAGCAAGCGAGTGCAACATAGGCCAGCCTGCGGAACCCGCCAAGGGTCGAAGCAGTTGGTGGGAGGGTGCAACAAGCGGAAGCAACGTATTTCCAGGCTGTGTCAATGGGGAAAGTAAAATGGTGGGGCCATTTTCGTGGGTGGGTTGTCATAGGTAGTAAATGTATAGACGAATGCAAACACACCAAACGTGAATGCCTCCAGAATCCTAGGGCATGTGATGATTCAACTCCCAGCAGCACTTTTTCTGTTGGAAAACACACCAATTGTTGGTACATTGACCATGTCTGAGGGCAGGTGCATCTATCCGTGGATCCGGCATGGGGCCGTTGTGAGATAGGGATTAGTCTCACCAGGCACGAAAACCTCCTACCCAAACACCAACATGGAAGTCAAAGATTTGTTCCTTGATCTAGTCATATCATGTCATATCTAACCTTTTGATTAATAACTCATGGGCACCGTTTGCACCAGTTCCAGCACCAGCAACACCAGCAACACCAGCACTAAAAGCATCAAACCTTCAACCAAGGAGCACAAAAGTGAAGACTCCCTCCGCGAGGCCGACCTTAGAGCAGCTCCACGTTGGAAGAGCGGGATCAGACTCGGAGCAGCAAGGTTTCCCACTAGGTTCAGGCCCAGGCTTTCCAATGCTTTCCAAGGAAAAAGGTTTTCTCTGGCCAGGCTGCAGAAGCTTCACTGGCATCTCCAATGACCGGATGTTGAAGCATTAGCAACACATGCTACGTAGTGGGACTTTAGCACCAAGCACGGGCCTACTCCGTGCTTCACGCTCCAGGCCAACCTTTAGACGAGTCCCTAAGACGCGGACGCCATCTCCCGGCTTTGTGTTGACGGCGTCACAGGCTTCAAAGGGGCGTCAAAGGGGCGTCACAAGACTCTGGCTCCCGGCCTTGCAGAAAAGACCACTCAAACATCCCCAGGAAAAGATCTTCTCCGCGCCCTGCCCTCCCAAAAGGAGCCAAAGCGCTTGCACCACGCTGTAGTCCCTCCTGGGAATGTGTGGGGCAACAAAGTCGAACTGCAACAAAATTGCATCGCTGCATCACTATGTTGCAATGCCTCAATGATTGGAGCATCTCACTGACAGCTGATGGTTTGCCAGGAACTGAGTCTGAAGTATCAAGCGATGATCTAAAATCGGCCCACAAGCAAACACGAAAACACAACTGCACTGTATCACTGCTGAGCGCTCCATGCTTTCGCAGGTAGAGGCGTGAAAGATAGAAAGAAGTAGGGCCCGTTCATGTGATAAACCTGAGCTGCAACTGGATGCGGTTGATGGGTCAGGATTTGTCGTTCCATAAACTGGCAGACAACTCGTTCGGAAACCGACTGTTGGCCTTGTTGGATTGCGGTCTTGTCGCAGGACAAGAGAACCAAGGGAGTTGATAGAGTTGTAAGTTTGACCAAACAAGAAAAGGCAGTACAAAGCTGAAATTGGTGATCGCATGATGAGGGGTGATGCTGGCATCAGCGAATGTTGCAGTAGATCCTTCGTGGGCCCTTCCAGGACTCCTCTCATTCCGTGCACAGCTGACCTACACTGTCACCATGAGAAGACATGGAGAAGACTCAACAAAAAAACCAAGCCCCTTGGATTCCTTGGATCTTTGAGTCCGAAATCCCCCAAACACCTAGCCTTCTACACCCTCGTTCTGGCACCGGGCTGCCGCTACCAGAAGCCCCGCGGCCAAGCCACCGCAGACCTGCCGAGACAATAGAACGCCCGACCGAACCCGACCGATTCGAGACGAGCTCTTGCGACCATCGGAGACGTTTTGTCCAATCCATATCAAATCCTTGGTGTTCAGCTTCACCTCATTGCGGCCACTGCTAGACTGGACCTCCACCCAGATCCGGGAATTTTTAGGCGCCATGATTACCATGCTTGGTCTATGGAAGGAGTCCGCTACCCCGCCTCGGGATCCAAACACATCCCAACGGCCGACTCCCGGTGTCTCGTGGAACAACGCCTGCACGGCTGCATAGGCCAGCCCATCGGCCACCGAACACACGGATCCTCAGGCAGGAGGCGGAAGGTTCAGCCGGTTCAGCCAGGGAATGAGGACATGAAAATCCCCTAACTCTCTAACATCAAAATGGAAAATCCATGAAATCTCCCCCAAGGAAAGTGGTCTACCAACAACAATGTTCTATCATTTTCCACTTCCATGTTCGTGAGTCAGGGTGGATGTCAGAGCTGTTGAATAGCAACCAGATTTAGCTTTTGACAGACTGGACGATCATATTTGGCTAGTATTGCACGTTTCTTGTCAATGGTCAAAAATGGTCACCCTACCAGGAACGGAAAAAAGGAAGCCCCTTTTGTATGCATGTGATAAGAATCAGTCACTCACTTCCTACAGACACATCTTCAGCAAAAAAATACGAGGAAAGGTTGCTGAAATATTCCCCACAGTGGGTTCTTTTTTCCGGTCTTCACCAACCCAAGGATTGGCCTACGCCCCGTTGTAGTGGCACTGCTCCTGATGAGAAAGGTGGGTGCTTTATGGGGCATCGCATGGCATCACTTTGCTCCGGGGCGAACAGTTTGTTGTTCGGCCTTCCTTTCACACCCTATGGCACCAAAAATGACTCTGAAGTGGATGCCCTATACTATACTCGACTGTTGACCTCTTCAAACCAAAGCTTTTCAGGATCCAACCGTTGTCTGGGTCACCTCCCCAGTTCAGGTCTCTACCTTGAGAACAAGCCAGATCGCAACTTTGCCAGGCTGCACCGCCGTCTGTGGCATGTCAGTTTCCATTTTTAGCTACACAGTACTCTGTATGTATACAAAATGCTGATGTCAGACGCCCATCAGTCGTAGAACTCGTCCTTGAGAAGGACAAGGGAACTTTTTACGATCATGGACTTGACATGAAACACATCCACAATCCCAACCAAGTTGCACTGGTTTGGGCGATTGACTGGTAGGAGTAGACCTCCATAGAAGTTTGTCTCCAAAACTGAGGGGACTACTATAGAATGACATGGTTTGTGACTAGAACAGAAAGAAACCTGAGACACTTTGCTTGGTGGAATCATGTCGAATCCCCGCTGAAGCGTCCAAGCGCTCTTTTCGGGGGTTCGCTCGGTCCTTGCTACCAGGAATCGTCCACTCAGCACCACTGCGAGTGTCACAGCAGGGTTAAAGTGCCCCCCAGAGATCTTTCCTCGCCCGTGATGTCTCGGCTTCGTTCGGACTCGGACTCCCTTTGGTCTTATCTCGGTACAGAAAACTGATCTTGTGAGACTTTGGGACGCGGACGTAGTGACCAACGGTGCAGAGACTTTGGGGGCAAAGCCTTTGCAGAATGATTGATCAATGATCTGCATCAGCTTGTGTGGTAGTGTCGCACTGACCAGAATGCATTTCGAAGTAAATAATTCAGCATCCATTTATATAAGTTAAAAGGCCCGCATCTCAGCCTCCCTTGAGCTTGGGCAGGGGGTCAGCGGGCAAGCTCACCCGGATCGATGTTTGTCTGGCCGATTTCCTTGTTGCAGTCCGTCCATCTTTCGGAGATGGATACAATCTTGTGACCCTCATCTTTGCAATGGGAAACTTGCAGCTTTGGTAGACAATAGTTTCGATTTGCAGTTTCTTTTGTTTCGAAATACATTATATAAATTCTTAAAATTCATGCAGCCTCGAGTATTGGTCTTTTTGCTCGGTAGCTCTGCGTCCTTGTGCCCTATGAGACCTTTGACTGCGCTTTCTCCTGTCTACACTACTTACTGTCCGCACAGGTTCACTGCACGCTCGCTACCTGAGGGCCGTCAAATACTCACAAAGGTGCTACCTGGGCTTGCCAGCCTGTGCAGCCTCGGTCCTGGCTGTCAAGAAGAGAAGGGCAGAAACATGGCGAAACTGATGGATCCCCCCAACCCTCTGATGGATTCATGTCTGGACCCAAAGCTTTCAGCCACTAGTGTAGTCACTCACATAAATAGTAGACCAAGAACCTGACTCGTCGAAATCCGTCGGAAATTCCACCAGGACTCCCACTGCGTAGATCATGCTGATCAACGCGCCGGCACAGGACCACGCCGTTGCCTTGGAAAATGCGAGACCAGTCCGACGGGCTTCAGGTTCTTTTTCGAGAAACTGGATGCAGGGCATGAGAAGAGAGGCTTTGACATGAAGGGTTACTACTCACGTTTACTGTGTCTCATTCCTTCCAGTCTGTGGATCTCAGGGGTCAGATTCGTCCTTCTCAGGTGGGATGGATCCACCAAAACCTGTTCACCGGTGAACACCGCGCGTCCGATCAAGCCGGCCTCAGACAAGCTGACAGCGTTCAAGCCAAAGGTGAGCACCTGGGAGCGGGGAGCGGTCGCATGGAGCGGCCCATGAGTTGAAGACGTTCTGCACCAAACTTGGTACATCCAACGCACTTCAGACTTGGACCTTGACAATCCTTGAAACATAGTGAACAAATCAGCGAATGAATTACTTTAAAGAACAGTACAGTAATAGAAAACGCATGCAAAAGACTGGCACAAGGAAATTGGTCTTCAATGAGTCCGCGGTGGGCATGCTTAGTCAGTTCATTTGGACGTCTCCTGCACTTTCTACCGACCAATCCAGACAGCACGGGGAGGAAGCCACTAGCCCCCCCGATTGACATGTCTAAATGGCGTTATCCCGGTCTTGCCCCGAAAGAGGACTGGCTGTCCTCTATTTGGCGGACGAGCGGCATAGGTGAAGGTGCCAATCCTGATTGCCGGTGAAGCAAAGGATTGTGGTGCTTTCAGGAGGTTTCTCAGGTACAAAGAATATCCACAGGCAAAAAAGACTGATGATAGTGCGGGTCACCCTTCATAAGGAGTAACTTTGAAGTTCCACACGACACTCACTTATTTTGCAGAATGCAATATGCACACTCACGAGTATGTCTGAGTATGTCTGGTACCTCTGATTTGACTGGCCACATCTCCAAAAATTTGGGAAAGCCCTTCGATCTCATTTCCCTTGCCCTTTCAAGGGTTCCTGGTGGCCTGGTAATCTCATCGCTGGGATGGTTCGTTCCGGAGACCAGGTAGTTGGATACTGTACAGGCAAGAGTAGGAGCTCCTCAACTTGCCAAGTCTTCCACCTCTTTTGATCTGTTTTTGCATCTCTCATTTGTTTCCATACTTTGGGCCATCCAGTGAGAGGGCATGAAAGGGCAGCTTTGCAGCGTCTTCTAGAGCAAACGAGGTGCGCGGTATGCCAGTGACGTTTTCTCATCTTTGGTTCCCTTCCCACCAACTGCCAACTCACGCTAAACTGAAACCTGCACCCGCACGCTCACCCACAACCCGCAATCTGCCCAGGCACAGCTCGCCCAGGAGCCGTGCTGACCGACGGGGTGCGCAAAGCTCCAGGAACTCCTCCTGACAAAAGTCCTCACCACGGACGACGGATGCAGCGGCGGAGCAGGATGGAAGAAAGGCGCAAAGACCTGGTTTGCCTAGATCAGGGGTGGATTTTAAGGCGAGTCCAAAAAAATGGTATGGGGTGGGTCAGGTTCAAAAAACTGCAGCCCAAAGCCAACAGGTCCAAGTAGATGTTGCATCCGGACCATCCGGCCCTCTGAGAATGAATCTTGAAGATTTAAAAAACATGAAATCTACATGCGTCTACTCTAAATGGTGTGTCATGTGACGTTTTAGAGTTGCGAGCCAGTACTGATGCCCCGTCTTTCCTCTTGGTAATCCATGGGCAGGGCCCCAGTAGATTCACAGCGCTCAGTGGATTTGGGGCGACCAACTACATCATTCTTTACACAGGCCCGTTGCTGCCTTTCTGAAGGTCGATCCAGGGTCGATTTCTCCAGTGGGAAACCCACTTTGGTCCGACTGAATCGACCTCCACGTTAGAGAGGCCTCCACCGTCTCTTTCACGTTCCCACCTTTCCTCCGCTGCACACCCGCTGCTCTCCGCGGCCCCCCCCCTCCCGCATCCTCCGCGTTGGCGCGCAGCACCGCAAAGAGGTAGGTCCCCAGGAGGGCGCCGAGGAACTCTGCTAAGGCCCAGGGCAGAGCCCAGTGCCTTGGGCACCAAGCGTGACTCTATCACAACCAGTGTTGCACACGGGAGGCGAGACAAGGCCTCAAAAAAATGACACAAGCGCTGGCACCAACAAAAGCTAGTCGTCATGTTTGGGGCCAAAAATATCAGGGACGTTATCATGACTGGTCAGACTCTTAGCGTCGCTTTCACATGAACCACCGGTTGGAAGCTCCCCAGAATCCTGCTGAAAACCTGGAGATTGAAAGACACCAGACTCCTAACCAAACAAAAAACAGGTGAGCCCGCGGACCCAAAAGCAAAAAGAAACGCGCAACCCAGGAAAAATAAACAAACACACATTAGCAGGCCAAAACGAAGCATCAGCCCCCTCCAGGCTTCGTGGCAACCATGATATTTCAAGCATCGCGGTTCTGGTGCGCATCCGTCCCTCGGTCAATTTTGAAAGCCCTCCAAAACGGTCATAAAACGATTGCAACATCGCTTCTAACAACCCTTCCAGGAAGCGTGGAGCAGCCAATCTGCCGTTTTGGCCATGACTCCATGACTTGACTGTCTGGCGCATGCGTTGTGCACATTTTGGACACCCAAGACCATCATATAAGCCCTGCAACACAGCTCCCCTCGCGTCAGAACGTGCTTCCGCGAAGCATGGAGCAGAACTATCCCCACCCATGCTTCGTCTGACCCGGAGCAGCCTGCAATGATGCTTGTGGTGCACCCATGCAAGATCGCTCCACTCACACAACGACGTTCTGCCGCGAAGCGTTCCACTTAGCACCTTCCCTCCACCGCCCCGTCCACACCCATGCGCCTCCCCTTCCTTCCACGGCTCCTCCATGCACCTCCCGTCCCTCTTGCCTCCCCTGCCCCGTCCACACCCATGCACCTCCCGTCTCCCGCCTCTCCCTTCCTCACCCATGCTCCTCCGTCTCGCGCCCCTTCCTTTCCACAGCCGTCCACACCCACGCACCTCCTGTCTCGCGCCCATATATCTTCCCTCCACCGCCCCGTCCACACCCATGCACCTCCCGTCTCTCGCCCCTCCCTCTTCCTTCCACAGCTCCGTCCACACCCATGCACCTCCCGTCTTCCGCCTTCCTGTCTGCGAAGCATGGAGCAGCACTACCCCCACCCATGCTTCGTTCTACTTGTGCACTGACCCGGAGCAGCCTGCAATGATGCTTGTGGTGCAAGCATGTCCTCGTAACTACCATCCGTCCAGCCCCGTCCACACCCATGCACAATGCACCTCCCGTCTCGCGGCCCTCCCTTCCTTCCCCCCCGTCTCGCTCCCTGGGAGGGAGGGGAGCGCGCGTGGGAGGGAAGATGGAGCGGAGCGAGACGGGAGGCGCATGGATGGGGACGGGCTTGGGAGGGAAGATGGAGGCGCATGCCTCCCGTCTCGCTCCCCTCCATCTTCCCTCCCCAGCCCCGTCCGCACCCATGCACCTCCCGTCTCGCTCCCCTCCATCTTCCCTCCCCGGC